AATTAGGCAGTATTAGAACAATTCATTAGCTAAGTAATTGCTGCCATGGCCACCCAAGTAATTTGCTTCCCATTGAAAGTGTGAGCAGCAATTTCTACCAAAGGGTGATGGGGTTTTTAGAGTATGGCATCAGTAGTGAGGTGGATAGAATATGTCTGACACCTCATGCTGCCTATCCAAATGCTCCAGAAAGTAAAAGGCTCCGGAATGGTTGTGTTAATGAATGCGAGATGGGTTCATTATTCATTCTCTTATCTGATAGGCAGAAGCTAAGCCATGCCATGCCAGATGAATGTTAACAGGTACAAGATATTGCCTTGAATCTCTCACCTTAATAAATATTTGCTTCCTGATCCCAGAAGCAGGACACACTGACCTTTGATTTGAAGGAGGTAAGGGAGAAGCTTGGGCAAATTGTATTCCATATGACAAGACAGCAGTGATAGAGGAAACAAAGAAATGAAAAGAAAATAACCGGTTGCCACAAAGATCAAGATCTTGGACCAGTTGCAGTTAAGATCCCAGAATTGTGAAATTGGAAAGAAGGATAATGGCATAAAAAAGCAAAATACTGCAATAGCCTTTTTTGATGGTTCGCTGAGCTGTTGATCCAAACAAACTGCCTGGGTTGTCTGTTTTGTATTCAGAGTGCTTTGCTCTCTGATGGATAGCTTGCTGTGCACATGTGAGGTGACATTTCCAAGCTGCCTGAAAAATGTTAGACTCATTTGTTTAATGTCAAAGTTTTATATGTGAGATTATGAGATCTAGGATTTAGAGTGTAGCATGTCTGGTGTTGGTAATTATTTCATGATGAGTTTGTTTATTGTTTTATTGTTAGAGATTCAGCTTTGGATTTAGGTAGGATGGTTGCAAACTATGCATTTGTATTGAATTAATGTATTACATGCTGGACCAAAGGCTAACAAAGAATTTGATATTTTTTAAATAGTTAAAACCTAAAAAATGCCAATTAATGTTTTTCAGTCCATTGCATGGTAAAGATTCACTAACTATAAAACTAATTTCTAATTAGAGAGGTTTTAATACTTCTGGAATCTTCTAACTTCTTAGCTGGATCAAGGACTATGAATGCATAAGCATAATTTTTGCCTCATTGTAAAGATTTGCTTTTCCATATCTGCAATAAATAGAAGTGAACAAAAGATCAGAGACCTGAAAGGAGTATTGAGTAGTGAGGTGGGATTTTGAACATACAATTTATAATTTATACATCCTAATATATAATTTATGCATACCAATGAAAGTTATCCCCTAAGGCAGAGGAGTACCATAATTAAGCTTTTCAGGGTTGTCTAAAACTATTTATGAATAATAGTTGAATTCTCATGAATTTATGTATCTAGTAAAAGTTAAATATTACAATTTCAAATTTGTACCAGTTATATTGTATTCATTGATTCTAAGATGTACATTCTATTAGCTTCCTAGCCCTGCTATAACAAATTATACAAACTTAGTGGCTTGAACCCACACAAATATATAATCTTTTATAGTTCTCTAGGTTAGAAGTCTGATACAGGTCTCTCTGCGCTGAAGTCCAGGTGGCAGCAGGGCTGCATTCCTTTCTAAAGGCTATAGGGGAAATCCATTTGTTTGCCTTTTCTAGCTTCTAAAGGCCATTCACATTTCTGACTCATAGCCCTTTCCTCTAACTTCAAAGCTAGCAACATTTCTTCTTTCTAACCATTCTTCTGTAATCACAGCTCCCTCTGACATTTCTACCCATCTTCTATTTTAAGGACCCTTGTGATTACATTGTGATTATGATCCGGGATAATCTCCCCATCTGCTGATTAGCAACCTTAAATCCATCTGCAACCTTAATTTCCTTTGCCATGTAACCTAACATATTCATGCATTCTAGGGATCCAGATGTGGACATACTTGGGGGCCGTTGTTCTGCCTACCACATCTTATTTTTCACATTTTATCATCTCTACGAACAGGGTACATCTTACAATCAATGTGGTAAGAAGATATTGCTTCTTAGTTTAATTGGCAATTCTTTTATTTCTTATCAGAACATAAAATAATGATGTTTCTTACAATTGATGGCATTTAGACTTAATGAAATAACTTACTGTAGCTTCACAGTAATAAACTAAATCAGTGTAAGTAAGATTCAATTCTTTCTCTTCTGTGTGAGTCATAAGTCATACTCTCAGAATGATGTCAAAATGATTTCTAGAGGGCGCCTGGGTGGCTCAGTTGGTTAAGCGACTGCCTTCGGCTCAGGTCATGATCCTGGAGTCCCTGGATCGAGTCTCGCATCGGGCTTCCTGCTCGGCAGGGAGTCTGCTTCATCCTCTGACCCTATCCCCTCTCAGGTGTTCTCTCTCTCTCATTCTCTCTCTCTCAAATAAATAAATAAAATCTTTAAAAAAAATGATTTCTAGAGAAAGATGAATAAATTCTGTGATCATCTCTGGATTTCAGTTGCCAAATTTTAAAATAATGAATTTTTAAAATTATTCAGGTTGGCCATTCATCTATCTTTAGAGATGGTAGCTGATTAAATCGACAATTTCCTTTGTTAAAGATTATAAGATAGCTGAACCTTATAGACTCTTCCTTGACCGTAAATATTTCCTTTACATTTTATAGTCTTTATGTTTGGATGATAATGTAAGCCCTACCATCCATAAGAATACCTGTTCTGATCAGTTGTGTGTCTGAGGCACTCCCAAAGAGCATGAAGTGTGCACTACAAACTGAGTGTTGAATGAACTTTTCCACATTTGAATTGAAGCGTCTCCTGTTGTCAGTGTGCACTGTGTATCACTTCCCCATCATCACACACACACACACACACACACACACACACCCATACCCCTCCAGAAAGACTCAACTCTTTTTAAAAGAAAGTACTGAGAGAAGCAGAGGATTACCCTTAAGACCTTGGGAGCAGATGAGTATTTATTAACTTGACTCATCCTAGGACTCTTAGCAGTCTGATACATACTAAGAGAGTACCTAAAATAAGCTTATCTTATCATTAATAAAACATTTCAGAAATATGAAGTAGCACTGCTTTGCACAAGGCATTTTTCAAGATCTTTCTTGATTCTGAGTTTTGTTTTCTTTTTTTTTTTTTGCTCGAAAGATACTAAAATGACATGTTCCATCTGTCAGTGTCAGAAATGAGGTATGGGGCTTGTATGGTGCACCAGTAAAGTGGTGTGACCTGCCCAACCCTAACCCTCCACAGGTGGAGTTCATAGGCAATAGTGTCTGTATCTGGAGTCTAAAATGAGGGCTGAAGAAATCTACTTATGTAACAGAGTCTGAGTGCATAGTGGCAGCAACTAAACTGAGTGTCGCAATGTTGGCAACCTCTCTGCCTACACCAAAACCCCTACTTTGAAATCAAGGACTCATATCATTGAAGAGTGATGATATGTCAGTTCAATGGTGTGCTTCAGGCAATCCAAATCATTGTCTCCTTCCCCTTCAGAATCAAATCTGTAGGGATTAAATACAAATTAAATGTTGCTAATAGCAACAGTGGCCAAAATACTAAAGGATGAGGCTGTTGATGATCACATTTAATTCCCAGGAGAAAAGGAATTCCAGCAGACACACAATAGGGGGTAAAAATGTTTTGAGGAGTTGTTATTAACTAAAAAGTAATTTCTAATCTTGTTTACAGACCTTGGCTCTTTTGTGATTTTTCAAGGGTCTCTTCAAGTGTTAGGGAGTTGGCAGTTTGCTTTACAGGATTTATAGGTCTTTTTTTCACCATATTAATGATTTTGGAAAAATATATATTGTAAGAATTAATTTAATGCCAAGCCAGATAAGGATATTAGTAGAATTCAGTAGCTGGATCATTGTGACTATCATATAAAAGACTTTAAGTATGGATTGTCTGACTGCCATCTTTTTCTTCAGGGAGCCCACGTTTATACCTCACTAACAATCCAAGTTTAGGGTGATTTAGCTATTTGCATTATACTTCTCTGCCAAGTACACCCCACTAGCAAATTAAGTGAATGCATCTCTTCCTGGGTGCTTTGTGTAAAAATCTCTGATCTTCCAATCCCAATGTGCAACAGAGACCTGCCAGGCAAGATTTGCCTGCCCCCACCCCACCCAACCCAAATTCCTCTTTGATCTTTTCTCCACAGTGGTGGTTTGGCTAAGAGCATCATGTTCCTCTGAGTGGCGTTGGGCAGGACAATGAGGGATGGGTTGAGATAAGAATAACTGAGAGAAGGACAGGGAGCCAAGAGGAGTGAAGGAAGAGATAGAGCTAGAGAGAGAGACATTAAAGAGAGAACAAGGATGGAAGAGAAGAAATAAAGAAATAGGAGGAAAGAGAAGAAATACATAAAATTTTTAGGGACAAAGAGGGTTTCCTTTGTTATCTGGTTATGATCATTTTTTTAAACTGGTAAATCAGAGCATATCAATTCCTCACTAAAAATACTCCAATGACTTTCCATCAAACTTAAAATTAAATCCAAGATCCTTACCATAATCTACAAAGCTTTACATGATCTTACTCTTAGGCACCACTTGGTAACTAAAAACAATTCATTATCTCTCACAGTTTCTGTGGGTCAGGAATCAGGAGTGGCCTATAATTCTGGCTGAGAGTCTCTCCTGAGATTGCAGTCAGTTGTTATCTGGTGCCAAAGGCATCGTAAGATTTGGGTAGGGTTGGAGAATCCATTCCCAAGGAGACTCATACATATGGCTAACAAGTTAGTGCTGGCTGTTTACACAAAGCTTCTGTTCATCTCCACATAGGTCTCTCCAGGTAGGTCAGGCTCCCTTACAAGCTGGCAGCTGAGTTCCAGTGGTAAGCATCTATGGAAAGAAAGAGGAAAGGAAAAGGGAAAAGAGAGAGGGAGGGAGGAGAGAAGGGGGGAGATGGAGAGGAAGAGAGAGAACAAGAGGGAGAGAGAGAGACTGAGATTGGAAACCAGGCAGAAGTTTTCCCTTTTTTATGAGCCTTGGAAGGTCCATAAGATCACCTCTGTCATACTCCAAGAGCCTCTCCAGACTCCATGGATTCCTTCTCTTGGAGGATCATATTGTTCGAAGTATATCTAGGAAGAGATAAATACATAGATATGGCCAACTTTAGAAAAAATAGTCTTCCAGGGGGAAGATTTCCTATGGTTAAGTGGTTATAACTCTTTTATATAACTGGTAAATCAGATCATATCAATCTCTCCAATGGCTTCTTATCAATTACTTCCAAAATTTCTTACCTACAAAGCCTTATATGACCTACAAAGCCTTACTTCGGAGTGAACCCCTTTCCTACCACACCCTACCCCCTTCCAGCCACTCTCTTTTCACCACTTCTCACACTTATCAAGCTCATTCCATCTGCCTGGATTAGTTTTTCTCCCAGATATTCACATGATTTGCTTTCTTGCTTCATTCAGGTTTCTGATTAAAAGGTGCCTTTTGAGAAAAGTTTCCCAGTGACCCCACACTACCTAGTGTGCTCACGCACACACTGTCTTTCTTTCTCTCTCCCTCACTTTCCCCTTACCCTGCTCTATTTTTCTTCAAGGCACCTATCACTAAAGGAAAGAACTCGTTTTGTTCAGTGCATGAAACAGCGTCCACCCCAGAGTAAGTGCTCAGTGTGTGTGTGTGTGTGTGTGTGTGTTGAATGAGTGGATGAAGAAACAAACTGATAGTAACTCTTTCTGAAGGCCATTCCCAGGTGGCTCTGACCAGCGGTGGAAGCACCGCTGTGAATGTGTCTGGGAGGATTAGGCAGGGCAGGACTCCAATGCATGCACAGATTCTAGCTGCCAAGAAGCATTGACATTACTGCAACTCATAATGGGACCTGCTATCATCTTTTCAATCTCGATGAATGAATAAGAAAGGCCCATGATGGCACTCACATAAACTATGTTAATGCAAATAAGACAAAGATGGGATGACTTTTAATCTGTGGGTTCAGAATCCAACCCAGCAATTTGTTTTTTAATTTGTTTGTCATTTATGCCAAAATCAACAGTCTTTGAGGCTTTTTGAAATGGTGGAGTGCTATCTTAATGATGCTATATCAAAGGATTAAAACTTCAGGGTAAATAGAATTCTGTAATAGATTTTAAAGGCAGGCTTGCCTTGCATATCACTGGGTCCAAGGCAAATTGTCCTGCTAATGAGATGACAGGTCAGACCTTTTCTGAAAGCCAGCAGCATACAATCAAGATTAATGCCCATGCTTGCTAATTTAAGAAATTTAGCAACAACTTCATCAGCGATGGCTGTGCTTGCTATGGGAAGCAGAGAAAGCACCAAGGCATCTCTGGACCATGTCTCCTCACTGCCCCGCTATAGCCATGCTGAACTGCTCACCATTCCTGGCCAAGCCAGGCCGTCTTACACCTCCATGCCTTTGCTCACTGTGTTCCCTGTTTGGGGAATGCTACAACTATTGAGCTTACCTCCTCTCTGAAGCCTCTCTTAACCCACACCCACTTCAAAGTGGAACCAGTTACTTCCTTCTCTTGACTTCACGGTACCCTGTACGCACACTTCTCACAGAACTATAACACTTTTTTACATTTAACATTTTGCATGCCTGCCCTTTCCTGGATCACCAGGATCTTGAAGGCAGAGTCTGGGTCTTATTGGTCTTGTTGTATCTCCATCAAGAAGCCAATGATTTTTGCATAGGACACATTCAACAGGAAGATTTGCTAGATAGATAGATAGATAGATAGATAGATAGATAGATAGATAGATAGATAGATAGATAATAGATAAATAGATAGACAGGCAGACAAATGTGTGAACCTTCTTAACAGTGCTCTACTAAGAAGGGTCTTGAAAGTATGAGAGAAGACTTACTCATCCTGATATCCTACTCCCTGGAGAAAAGGGTTGGGGGCTCTCTTCCTAGACTGGCATAATGAATCCAGCTCCTATCTAGAAGACCTGTGAGATGAGAATTCTCAGGACTGGCCTTCAGGGCCAGAGCTGCGTGGTATTCAGCACAGCCTCTACATCACACACAGCTGAACGTTCACGAGGCAAAGACTGCCCATTGCAGTGATTCTTCGTACACTGCCAACAACCATTTTAATTCCGAAAACCTTGGCACTGCACAACAATTGGGGAATTTAATTCGGTACAGCTAGATATTCATTGTTCTAAACTTAACAACAGCATCTTGTGGGAGTAAAATTTAGGAAATAGCATCTTGGAACAACTATTAATCAGGAAGGAAAATGTTACCTTTGGGTGCCCAAATGAAGGCATATACTGCATGGTTATAACATTGGCTAAGGGGATTTTTTAAAATAATAAATTACATAAGAATATATATACTCAGAGTGTTCTTTTATGTTAGGGGTTTTAAATTAGAATAAAATATAACTTTTTGTTAAAGACTATATATTTCCATTGAAAATATTTTTTTAAAGATTTTATTTATTTATTTGACAGAGAGAGACACAGTGAGAGAGGGAACACAAGCAGGGGGAGTGGGAGAGGGAGAAGCAGGCTTCCCGCAAAGCAGGGACCCTGATGAGGGGCTCGATCCCAGGACCCTGGGATCATGACCTGAGCCCAAGGCAAATGCTTAACGACTGAGCCACCCAGATGCCCTGAAAATATTTTTTATATAAAATATAAAAGCTATATATTTCCACTGAAAGTGGTGTTCTTGTTCTCTAAGATGTGTTGTGTTATTCTCACTCGGGGGGAAAAAAAGACTCTCTCAGATTCACCGATAACATTTGGTTGATACCCTTCTTTGGCCATTTTTCTTACCAGAGACAGATCATATGTGCAAGTCTTTCCTGTACTACACCATACATCCCTTGAGTATGTGCCTTATCCTGTTTGTCTTTGTACAGCAGGGCCTAGACCAGTGCCTTGCACATGTTAGGTGCACCATGAATATTTTAATTAATTACCCATCAAATAACTTGCTGCAGAGTGTTCATTGTTCTCTCTTGCTTCCTAACTTTGCGACACCTCTGATGATAAATCAGTCCCATGATTTCATTATCCTACAGAATAATGGTTTCATTTCTCAGTAATCAACCATTGCATAATGCACCCGTTCTGGCTGTCAAGGAGGTCCAGTGAAATACACAGCCATAGAAGAATGAGTGCATGTAAAGAAAGAAAGAAAGAAAGAAAGAAAGAAAGAAAGAAAGAAAGAAAGAAAGAAAGAAAGAAAGAAAGAAAGAAAGAGAGAGAGAGAGAGAGAGAGAGAAAGAAAGAAAGAAAGAGAGAAAGAAAGAAAGAAAGAGAGAGAGAAAAAGAAAGAAAGAGTGCATGGATGGATGAAGGTGCTGTCAGAGTGCGGACTGATGGTCTCACCTGGGGCAAGGCAATCAAGGACGTCATCTCATAGGAGGTGTGTTTGAACTACAGGACTTGAGAAATAACACTCTATACAGACAAATGGTGATCCCTGTGTGTCCCTCCCCAGGGCATCCCCCCCCCCCATTTCCAGAGACATTTTTGTCCTGAATTTGTATTTATCACCTCCATGTGTTTCTTTATAGTCTCACTGTACACATATGGATTCCTATTCTAGTATCACCTGTTTTCAAACTTATATCAGTGGTATCATAGCATTCATATAATAAGAACCAACAACTTACTGGGCACTTAAGATGTGCCAAGGACTATTGTGGACTTTGTACATATATCGAGCCAGTTTATTCTCACAACAACTCAATGACATGGGTACTATTGTTATCCCATTTTACTAAGAAAGAAACTAAGGTTCAGAGTTTAATTTGTCCAAAGTTTCACAAATGATAAGTGGGAGAGCAATCTGGTTCTAAGGCCTGAGTCTTTTTACCCTTGGCTTTAAAAGTAATATTATTAGTGAGAATCATCCTGTTTTTCTGTGAGGGTGAATTTTTAAAAATTTCTATCATAGAACAGGAGATCAAAAATATTTTCCAGGTTTTTCACATTTGAAGCAATGTTTCTTTCTTCCTTTTTAAATTGAGAAAACTGTGGATTCATATGCAATTGTAGGAAATAATATAGATAAATCCCTTCTATACTTTTCCCAGTTTCCCTCAGTGGTAATATTTTACAAAACTATAATACAATATCATAATATCACTGGGTATTGACATTGATACAACCCACCAATTTTATTCAGATTTCCCAATTTTACTTTACTCGTGTGTGTATGTGTACATTAAGTTTTATACAACTTTAGCACTTGTATAAATTTATATAGATACTACCACAGTCAAAATGATCAGTAGGTCCAACCCTACAAGGATTCCTCATGTTGCCCTTTTAAAAAACCATACTTTCACTTTCACCCCCTCAACATGCTCCAACCCCCATCCCTAACCCCTGACAACCACTAAACTGTCCATCATTTCTAAAATGTTATCATTGCAAAGCCTGACTTTTTAACCCATCCATTATATTGCAATTTGCTTCTTTTCCAATGAACATTATATTTTCAAAATTGATACATTATGTTGATGTATGTCACTCTGTTCATTGTAACTGCTATGTGGGTATTCCCTGACTTACTTATCTTTTCTTCTGTTGATGGACATTGAGGTTGGTTCAAGGTTTTTTCCCACCATTACAAACAATTCATGAACATATCTCCTTGTGCATAATGTTGCTTCTTTACACTTGAATTGGGGTCTGCCTTTGATGACCAAAGAAAGATGAATGAGAACAATTTATTACCAATGATGGAACTATTTGCTGCAATCATGCTCACTAGATGGACTTAATTGCTATAATCACGCTCACCATGCTCTTATCAGGACAAACTGTCCTCTTTTTAATGAACATCCAAATTACTACATCATCCATATTATAGCATACATCAGTACTTTATTTCTTTTCATTGCTGAGCAATATTCCATTGTATGGATATGTCACATCTCATTTATACATTCATTGGTTGATAGACATTTGGATTGTTTCCACTTCTGGGCTTTTGTGAATAATGCTGCTATGAATATTTCTGTACAAATTCTTGTGTAGACCTATGTTTTCAGTTCTCTTGGAATTGAAGTGGAATTTCTGGGTCTTTTGGTAACTCTATGTTTAACTTTTTGAGGAAGTTGTTTTCCAAAGTGGCTGCACCAACTTACATGCCCACCAACAGTGTGGTTCTAATTTCTCCACATCCTCCAACACTTGTTACTGTCATTTTTATTATCCTCATCCTAGTGGGTGTGAATCGATGTGTTTTGACTCACATTTTAGTTTGATTCTTTTTTAAGATTTTATTTATTTATTTGAGAGAGAGCGTGTGCATGAGTGAGCATGAATGGGGGAGGGGCAGTGGGAGAGGGAGAATGACAAACAGACTCCCCACTGAGCATGGAGCCTGACTCAGGGCTCCAACCTGAGATTATGACCTTAGCCAAAGTCAGATGCTTAATTGACTGAGCCACCCAGGTGCCCCTGGTTTGATTTTTATATGCATAGTGTTCTTGGTCATTAAAGAAGACTTAATTTGCTTATTCTAGAATTAAATGTCTTCAGAACCCTTCTCACCTTTCTGTATCAGTCAGGATCCAATCAAAGAAGCAGTACCACTAGGCAATATAGCTGGTGGGTTAGTTAGTTAATTAGGTGGCTTGTTACAAGGATTTGAGTTTGCACATTTGTGGGATGAACTGATTAAGCAGTCTCTGTAAGGCTTTGTCTTCACATCTAATCCTGGAGCTTGAAGTTCACAGGGCAGCACTAGAGAAGGCTGAACCATACAAGCACAAGCTGGAGCCCATGAGGTCCAACTGAAACCCATGTCCGTTCTTGCTTCTGACCTTGATGATGTGATGCAGGTGTCCTGTAGAATCTGGGGCCTTTTGTCATTAAACTATGCACACACACACACACACACACACACACACACACACACCCCTGGCCCAAGAATTGGAGAAGCTGAAGGAGGACCCCAGGGAAGGTGGAGCAGTTGCTGGTTCAGCTGCTGCCTCATGCCAACTAGCTGAGACAGCAGATGTGACAATGTGTGTGAGCTACAAAATGACTGATAATTCACTTCCTCCTCCAAATCTCCCACAGGAATCTTTCTTGTGGCCCACCCTACCTGTACATATAGGGAAGGGAATTCTGGGGGATGTAATTCCACCTACCTTGACACATTAGGAAGCTACCACCTCTTCTGCTTTCTTTGTACGACCATGAGCTGAAAAATATGCATATAATTAGTGAGCTGCCTACTTCTGCTAACTCGGATTGCACGTCATACAGAAACAGATGAAGAATCTCTAAGTTACACAGTGGGAGAAAAAAAATCTCTAAGTTGTAAGTCTTAATATTTGATTTTCTGTCCAGATTTCATATAACCTCTGTGGCATCGCTGGTCCCTCAAGGTTAGACCCAGTTGATGCCACTTCACCTAGCTTTCTGGGCCAGCCATGGAATTGATCAAGAGTGTTCTGGAGACCACAGGCCTTTCCCTGACATTCCAGATGGTCTGATATTTGATTCTAACTTGTTCCCCATCTTCCCTCTGTCTCTCTTTACCTCTCTCCTCTTTCCATTGTTCCTACCATTCCCTGTCTCCTTCCTTTGGATAATATTCCTTCTCCCAGCTTGATGTCTCATTCGTAGTCTGCTCATGAGACCACATGTTCTACACACGCTCATTTTTACCTTCCCCAATACTTCACCTCTCGCCACACTTAACTCTCATTGATTAGCCATTTGCATACCTGAGTTCTGTCATTTTAAATATATAACTAGAAACAGGCAAAAGGTGATATTCTAAATGTAAGACATTCAGGAAGATGCAGTCTATAAATTGTTATAAAATTGATGCACTCCAGTAACAACAATCTTTGTCAGAAATTCAGAGGTAGAAACACAATAGGAGATAAAATATATGCATTTTAGGACCTCGTGTAAGTAAGTTATGCCATTGCCATTATTAACTATCAGCTTAGATCATGTTTTATGCCAAGTCCTATAGCAGAGGAGGCAGAGAAGGAGGCCAGCCCGTTGGAGGCAGAGAAGGAGGCCAGCCCGTTGTTCACCCAGGGAAGGTTGAGGACAGGTCGGCAAGAAGACAAACTGTAGGCATGTCTGTACCAGGTTAGGCTTGGCTCCTGGGAAAAGCTCATAAAGAAGGGATCAGTTCCTCCCACTCTTACCTGCTGATAGGTCTAGGCCTCCAGTGACCTCAGAGGGATGTTCTTCCCCTAAGGAGAAGATGCCCAATGGGAGGGATGGAAGGAGAGAGACTTCGTTCTGAAAAGATGATATCAGGTTTGCCTTTGTAGCCAGCAAGGTGAAATTAATATAATTTCAAGGTCCCCTTTCCTAAGCAAAATTGTTCCCACTTTTCTAAACATTACTGAAAATTTCCTTAACTACAAAGTTCTTCATTTGACAACTAGAAATGAAAAATGTAAAAGGGAAATCTTTGGTTTAGACAAAAATTTAATATGCATTAATTTCCATGAAAGGCTAATGGGCTACTTGTCTCATCATTCTTAAGGGAGGGGTATTAGATCCTTCCTAAGCTTTGAGAGGAGGAAGGAAAAGGAGAGTTAGCATTGGGGGACAGCCTGAGGAGACAAGGAAGGTGTACCACATGAAGATGCAGATTTTACCAGCCTTAGCCATAATTATCTTCTGCTGACTGGGGACAGCGACAGGCTGGGTACTAAGGGATTTCTGTTGCATACTTGAAATGGCTTTTTAAAACCAGCTCACTGAGCATAATTGTATGCATCAATGTGCTGGGGTGGGAGGGAGTTGATTTAGATATTGAGTTTGCACTTTGCAGAGCGTCCTCATCACAGTCCTGAATATTTGCATCCTTATTCAAAGCCACACACTCATTCCATCTTCACATCTCTGCTGAGGATACCACCTCACCACAACAGAAGTTCCTGCTTCAGCAATGAGTCCCACTGTTCAGAAGGAAACCTGGCTTACTGGATCCAGGAATGGAACTAATGGAATTCACTTTAATTATATACCACTCAGTTGATAGCAATTATTTTCTTACAGATCAGAATTAACCATTATAATTTGTATAAATGTTATTAAGAAAATATGTTTATAAACCATTATTTGGAACACAGCATCATGTTAGGTTTTAAAATGAAAATTAAAAATCTGAAAGTGTTTCTATATATTTTTAACTAATAAATAAGACAGATTATTAAAAAGGGGGAAATGATAGTCAAGAGACAAGAGTATTCTGAAACAATAGCAGCACCTAATTTAACCGAGAAATAGACAATAAGCAATTAAATTCATACCATGCCGGATACCTTAAGCACAGCTCTGGGAATCGTGTCCTTTCAAGGAACTAATAGTTTCTGGAAATAAGAGGAAAGACTTTCGGGGATGAACACTTGTCATTTCCTATGAGGTGCTCTAAAATCTATTCCCTCCACCTGGAATTAAAACATCATTGAAATTCACAAGAGGGCCAGGCTATGCAGCCCACATTTGGTGGGTGCAGAACAGAGCAAGCTGCAGCCCAAAACAGACATTTCCCCGCCCGTCGCTCTGTCTGTGTGATGTTAGCGGCAGATTCAGCAGTCACCTCGCATAACCTACCCTTGCTCATGCAAGCTTTTAACAGGCTTTTCTTTGGAAATGATTGCACAATTATTTAGTCGTTTACAAAATCAACCAATTCCCATGGTGAGATCTATTTCTGTGGGAGTCAAATCTTAGATTCTAACTAACAGAGCGAAAATCTGTTGTCATGGAAACCATTCCCTTTTCACTAGGCTAGCACTGCAATTGACTTGCATGGAGATGGATTGACAGAGATGCAGAGGGAAGGGGTGAAAAGAAATCAGACATGGCTTGAATCCATTTTCCTGAACAATATTTATGATCACTATTAATTTTATGTTGGATGGAAATTGACCTATAAGTACCGGATCCTAACAAATCTTTCAATACTGGGGGGAAAAAACCAAAATATGTTTTAGAAGCTATTTAAGAAATCCCAAATAGTTTCTCTTTTGCCAAAGAGGATCATTTATTAGAATAAGATTGTGTTTTACTTTGTTCTCAGAGTAACTGGAGCAATGGTAGTGAAAAGGAGAGGAATACTAAGGATAACTTAATTTCCTTATATTTGGGCTTTATAAATTAAATGTTAGGACTGTCAGAGAGGGAATATGTGGATTTATCAGCAAAACAAAAGGATCACATGCCTCTCAAACTCATAGTCAAAGTAAAGGAACCAAGAACATCTGCACACAAGTTCTTCTTCCTATAACTTATGGCATCATAAGTTGACCCAAAAGGGCACATTTGCATTATGAGCCTTATGACATTTGTGCCTTCCCAAAGGATAGGACATTTCTGAGGGTGGGCAAAGATACTGGCAGAGGTGGTGTGTGTCATCCCATTTCTTACTCCATGGCGCCAATCATTCCTGCTCCCTCTGAGGAATTGCCACTTTTCAAATTAGACATACCTTTCCTCCTAATTGACCTTTACCAGACACATCTTTAATATTAAAATCACATCATTGTGAGAGGGCACACAGACCAGTTAGCAGTGGCCAGGTAACTGGATTCCAGGGGCTGCTGGGTATCTGCAACAGAAGAAAAGTGCCAACATGAGCAGGGGAAGGACATGAGTTCATCCAAGGCAATAAGAGCCTGTGAGTAGAGGGCTCCCAGTCTCAAGGAGACTTAAACAAAATTGAGTGAGACTTAAACAAAATTGAGTGAAACATTTCTATTGGTCCATTATAAGATGCTTGAGGGTTTTATGGGTCTCTATTTAAATTCAGAGATTAAACTGAAAAAACAAGACCATCTGAAAACATTTTTTTCTACAAAGCGTGGGGTCTTAGTAAACAGAGATTAATTATATATTGAGTATTCACTTACCTTTGGGGAAAAGTGTTCATTATTTTAACCTATTTATTTATTACGGAGGTATAACTGATATACAACATTATATTGGTTGCAGGTGTATGACAACATAATAAGGAATATATGATTAATGATAAAGAATATATTGTGAAATGATCACATTTAGTCTAGTTAACATCCATCACCACACATAGTTACAAAAAAAATTTTTTTGTGATGAGAACTTTTAATATTTACTCTTTTACAACTTTCAAATATGCAATAGTCTTATTAACTATAGTTGCCATGCTGTACATTACATCCCCATGACTCATTTATTTTAGAACTGGAAGTTTGTACCTTTTGACCCCCTTTGCCCATTTCACCCACCATCACCATCCATCCCCTATCCCCAGCTTCTGGCAACCACCAATCTGTTCTCTGTATCTATGACTTTGGGAGTCTTTTTGTTTTGTTTTGTTTTGTTTCAGATTCCACATGTAAGTGAGGTCATATGGTATTTGTCTTTCTCTTTCTGACTTATTTTACTTAGCATAATGCCCTCAACTTTTATCAGTGTTGTCACAAATGGCAAGATTTCATTTTTTGTGGCTGAATAACTTTCCTGTGTGTGTGTGTGTGTGTGTGTGTGTGTGTGTGAGAGATATCACATCTTTATCCATTCATCTATGAACAGACATGTTGTTTCCATATCTTGGCTATTATAATTAATGCTGCAATGAACATGAGGGTGCATATATCTTTTCAAGTTGATGTTTTCTTCTTTTTTGGATAAATACCCAGAAGTGGGATTACTAGATCATATGGTGGTCCTGTTTTTAATTTTTTGAGCAACTGCCATACAGTTTTCCATTGGCTGCACCAATTTATATTCCCAGCAACAAAGCACAAGGGTTCCATTTTCTTCCTATCTTTAGCAACATTTGTTATTTCTTGTCTTTTTGATAAAGCTGTCCTCACAAGGGACACCTGGGTGTCTCAGTTGGTTAAGCTTCTGTCTTCGGCTCAGGTCATGATCCCAGGGTCCTGGGATCAAGTCCCACATCAGGCTCCCTGCTTGGTGGGGAGCCTGTTTTTCCCTCTCCTGCTCCCCTTGCTTGTGCTTGCTCTCTCTCTCTCTTTAAAAAAAAAAAAAAAAAGCTATTCTAACAGGTATGAGGTGATATCTCATTGTGGTTTTGATTTGCATTTTCCTGATTATTAGTGATATTCTCATGTACTTGTTGGCCTTCTGTATCTTCTTTGGAAAAAAATGTCTGTTCAGATCCTATGCCCATTTTTAATGTGATTATTTGTTATTTTGCTGTTGAGTTGTATGTGTTCTTTATACATTTTGGATATTAAGCCCTTATCAGATATATGATTTGCAGATATTTTCTCCCATTCAGCAGGTTGCCTTTTCATTTTTCTGATGGTTTTCTCTGCTGTGCAGAAGCTTATTAGTTTGATATAGTCCCATTTGTTTATTTTTGCTTTTTGTTGCCTTTGTTTTTGGTGTCAAATCCAAAAAAACATTGCCAAAATTGATGTCAAGGAGCTTACACCCTGTGTTTTCTTCTAGGAGTTTTATGGTTTCAGGTCTTATGTTCAAGTCTTTGAATCCATTTTGAGTTAATTTTTGCATATGGTGTAAGATAGTGGTCCAGTTTTCTCAACACCATTTATTGAAGATACTGTCCTTTCTCCATTGTATATTCTTGGCTCCTTTGTCATAAATTAATATATGTGTGGGTTTATTTCTGGGCTCTCTATTTGGTTCCATTAATCCGTGTGTCTGTTTTTATGTTAATACCATACTGTTTTGATTACTATAGCTTTGTAATATAGTTTGAAATCAGGGCGTATGATGCCTCCAACTTTGTTCTTTATTCTTAAGATTGCTTTGGCTATTCAGGATCAAAAATATCCATTTTTTAAAATATCCATTTTTAAAAAGCATAAATTATCTACAGTAAAATATACAAATTTTAAATTTACAACTCAATAAACTTTAACATATATATGTATGAGTATATATTTACATACATACATATATACACATATATATAATTACCACCCAAATCAAGATATAGAACATATCCCTACCTCAGAGAATTTCTTTACAATACCTTCCAGTCAATCTCATTTTTCTGACTTCTATCATTACAGATTGGTTCTTAAAATAGCCTATTCTTGAAATTTACATAAAAACAATATGTACTTTCTTGTGTCTGACTTCTTTTACTCAGTATAATTTTTTAAATTTCATGTATGTTTTGTGTATATCATTAGCTTGCATTTTTTATTGCTTAACAGTGTTTCATTGTATGAATATACACAATTTATTCATATTACCATTGATAGACATGTGCACTGTTTCCCACTTTGAGG